GAGTGAAAAAAGTTGGACCCAGAAAGACAGATACAGCATGTTCTCCCTTATATGTGAGAACTAAAATTTAAAACACAAAAAAAGAAAGAAAAAGACATGTCCGCATGCTTCAGTATTGCTGCAAATATAGCTTTGTAAAACTTTGTTTTATACCTTTGTCAAGTTAATGGTTAAGAATGCTATTCTACTACTATAGTTTTAATGATCTGTGAGTACTTGAAAATTTACTGTACATGGATGAAACAGTCATTTTTCCATTCAATTGCTGTTTATAGCTGTTGTCTGAGCTACTACCAAACTGGTATTTTTGCTTTTTAGTTGCCTTTTACTTTTTTCTTATTTGTTGAAGTATTAAGCCTTTTAAATGTAATGTAATTTTAAAATATATTATCTCAAAAACTAAAAAAAAAATGACAGAAAATGAGGAGGAAAGAAGGCAGAGGAAGAGTGGGGGAGGGAGGAAGGGAAGGAGGAAGAGAATACCATTGTGTTCTTAGAATTGTATCTGCAAACCCACAGCCAACATCCTATTGAATGGGGAAAAGTTGGAAGCATTTCCACTGAGATCTGGTACCAGACAGGGATGTCCACTCTCACCACTGCTATTCAATATAGTTCTGGAGGTTCTAGCCAGAGCTATTAGGCAAGAAAAAGAAATTAAAGGGATACAAATTGGGAAGGAAGAACTCAAACTATCCCTCTTTGCAGATGACATGATTCTTTATTTAGGGGACCCACAGAACTCTACTAAGAGACTATTGGAACTCATAGAAGAGTTTGGCAAAGTAGCAGGGTATAAAATCAATGCACAAAAATCAACAGCCTTTGTATACACAGACAATGCCAAGGCTGAGGAAGAACTTCTAAGATCAATCCCATTCACAATAGCCACAAAAACAATCAAATACCTTGGAATAAACTTAACCAAGGACGTTAAAGATCTCTACGATGAAAATTACAAAACCTTAAAGAAAGAAATAGAAGAGGATACCAAAAAATGGAAAAATCTTCCATGCTCACGGATTGGAAGAATCAATATCATCAAAATGTCCATTCTCCCAAAAGCAATTTATAAATTCAATGCAATACCAATCAAACTACCAAAGACCTTCTTCTCAGATCTGGAAAAAATGATGCTGAAATTTATATGGAGGCACAAGAGACCTCGAATAGCTAAAGCAATCTTGTACAACAAAAACAAAGCTGGAGGCATGACAATACCAGATTTCAGGACATACTACAGGGCAGTTGTAATCAAAACAGCATGGTACTGGTACAGAAACAGATGGATAGACCAATGGAAGAGAATTGAAACACCAGAAATCAACCCAAACATCTACAGCCAACTTATATTTGATCAAGGATCTAAAACTAATTCCTGGAGCAAGGACAGTCTATTCAATAAATGGTGCTGGGAAAATTGGATTTCCACGTGCAGAATCATGAAGCAAGACCCCTACCTTACACCTCACACAAAAATCCACTCAACATGGATTAAAGACCTAAATCTACGACCTGACACCATGAAGTTACCAGAGAACATTGGAGAAACCCTTCAAGATATTGGCACAGGCAAAGAGTTTCTGGAAAAGACCCGGGAGGCACAGGCAGTCAAAGCCAAAATCAACTATTGGGATTGCATCAAATTGAGAAGTTTCTGTACTCAAAAGAAACAGTCAGGAGAGTGAAGAGACAACCGACAGAATAGGAAAAAATATTTGCAAACTATGCAACAGATAAAGGGTTAATAACCAGAATCTACAAAGAGATCAAGAAATTCCACAAAAAGAAAACCAACAACCCACTTAAGAGATTTGCCAAGGACCTCAATAGACATTTTTCAAAAGAGGAAATCCAAATGGCCAACAGACACATGAAAAAATGTTCAAGATCACTAGCAATCAGGGAAATGCAAATCAAAACCACAATGAGGTTTCACCTCACCCCAGTTAGAATGGCTCACATGCAGAAATCTACCAACAACAGATGCTGGAGAGGATGTGGGGAAAAAGGGACACTAACCCACTGTTGGTGGGAATGCAAACTGGTCAAGTCACTATGGAAGTCAGTCTGGAGATTCCTCAGAAACCTGAAGATAACCCTACCGTTCGACCCAGCCATCCCACTCCTTGGAATTTACCCAAAGGAGTTTAAATTGGCAAACAAAAAAGCGGTCTGCACCCTAATGTTTATTGCAGCTCAATTCACAATAGCTAAGACCTGGAACCAACCTAAATGCCCATCAACGGTAGACTGGATAAAGAAATTATGGGATATGTACTCTTTAGAATACTATACCGCAGTAAGAAACAACGAAATCCAGTCATTTGCAACAAAATGGAGAAATCTGGAACACATCATGCTGAGTGAAATAAGCCAGTCCCAAAGGGACAAATACCATATGTTCTCCCTGATCGGTGACAAGTGACTGAACACCAGAAAGGAAACCTGTTGAAGTGAAATGGACACTATGGGAAATGGTGACTTGATCAGCATAGCCCTGACTGTTAATGAACAACTTAATACATTATCCCTCTTAGTAGTTTTTTTGCCTGTTCTACTTAATATGACTGGTTTAATTCTGTAATTAATACACAGTTATTCTTAAGTGTTGAAAATTAACTGAAATGTGATCCCTGTTAAACATAAGAGTGGGAATAAGAGAGGGAAGAGATGTATAATTTGGGACATGCTCAAGCTGACTTGCCCCAAATGGTAGAGTTAGAAACATACCAGGGGATTCCAATTCAATCCCATCAAGGTGGCATGTACCAATGCCATCTCACTATTCCAAGTGATCAATTTCAGTTCACAATTGGTCATAATGAAAGGACTAAGAGTCAAAGGGAGCACATAAACAAGTCTAGTACCTGCTAATACTAACCAATAGAATAAATAAAGGGGAGCGTGATCCAACATGGGAAGTGAGATACTCAGCAGACTCATAGAATGGCAGATGTCCTAAATAGCACTCTGGCCTCAGAATCAGCCCTAAAGGCATTCGGAGCTGGCTGAAAAGCCCATGAGAGTATTTCAGGCATGGAAAGCCAAGACACTCTGGCAAAAGATCTCTGTGAGTGAGATCCCAGTGGAAAGAACAGGTCTTCAAAGAAGGAGGTACCTTTCTCTGAAGGGAGGAGAGAACCTCCACTTTGACTATGACCTTGTCTAAACAAGATAAGAGTCGGAGAACTCAGAGGGCTTCCATAGCCTTGGAAACTCATGACTGGAGCATAGGGAGATTACTGATGCCATAGACAGGAGTGTCAATTGGTAAAGTCAACAACAGGAGTCACTGTGCACTTACTCCTCATGTAGGATCTCTGTCCTTAATGTGCTGCACATTGAGATTTAATGCTATAACGAGTACTCAAACAGTATATTTCACTTTGTGTTTCTATGGGGGTGCAAACTGTTGAAATCTTTACTTAATGCATACTAAACTGATCTTCTGTAAAAAAAAAAAAAAAGAAAAAAGAAATTATCAACTCCCAACTTGACTCTCACTGGGATTAAACATGACAATAGGTCTGATCTGATTTCATCATCATTTAAAAAAAATCATCTATTATTTTTCACTTTATGTTTCTGTGTGGGAGCAAACTGTTGAAACCCTTACTTAATGTATACTAAGCTGATCTTCTGTATATTAAGATAATCGAAAATGAATCTTGATGTGAATGAAAGGGGAGAGGGAGTGGGAAAGGGGAGGGTTGTGGGTGGGAGGGACGGTATGGGGGGGAAGCCATTGTAATCCATAAATCGTACTTTGGAAATTTATATTCATTAAATAAAAGTTAAAAAAAAAGAATTGTATCTGCAGATCACATTGAATTTGCTAAAAACTAACTAAAATTAAAATAATTTAGAAAATAAAATATTTTTAAAAATTTTAAGATGGAGAAAATCATAAAAAATGTAATAATTTTTTAAAAAGCAAGATAATAGATTTTTAAATTTACCACACCACTAATCATATTGAAAACCAATTGTCTAAGCTCTCTCTCGAAAAAAAAATCTACTTCCTTCCAGAACCCTGCTCTTGGTTTGTTCTTGCTCTGCCACCTGATATATGCAAAATAATTTTACATCCAAACTAGAACCACAGTCAATTCAGGTGCACCATTTAGAATCTATAACATGTACCTCATGCCAAGAAAAGAAAATGAAATTTCAGGTGAGGAGGATATGACCCAAATCTGGACTAGACTGGGCAGTGGAGAATAAAATGGTGATGGGAATGTTTCTCCCATATGGAACATAGATTCATTTGACCATTGATTAGGCATGACCACCCTCCTTCTGGCTGTTAGGACTTACAGTATTTTAAAAACATAGTAAGCAGTAATGAAGTTTGGAAGTTATATAGGAGGTTTGTGCTAGGAGGAATGTTAAAGCTGAGTTTTGATGGGTCTTACAGAGATGAAATGCTTGAGGGCATCTCAAGTTCAATCAATCATTATTTTTTTCTGGTAAGTTAATGAGTTTTGTCAGGCTAGGAACAACTGATAATTAGTTGTCACAGAAGAAAGTCTTTCCACCAAAACTTGTTTAAAAAACATGTAACTATTTAGAAGAATACTGCTGATTCCCAATCAATACATCCAAATTAACGCCATCAGTATCAAGCAGGTTAAGAGATAACACTTTCCTCCTAATTGAGGATGAGCAACTGCGCAGGGTTTTGATTCATGTATTCAATTAAAGACTTATAAAAAACAAAAATATCCCTTTTCACTATTTTCACTGCTACTTACGCTAAAAACTTTACCCTGGATTACAACATTTTCAAGAAGAATTTGATAAAAGCAGCAATCTCTAATTAATCTAATAACACCAAATATTTCTTCAAAGTGTTAGAACTTAAGATTTTCCAGTAATGTGCTGCTGACCATAGACTAATTAGAACAGATGTTTCATTGCTACAGGTGTTGCTTTGTTTCCCCACGCTGGGTTGCTCAGAGAATGCAGATCAGAGTAAGAAGTGCTGCATTGCCTACCTGACATAGAGGGAGCGTTTCTGATTTGTTCGCAGGGACCCGGACCCGGAGCTCATGCTGTGGTTCATCATCTGCTCTCGTAGGTCATGGATTTTGGCCTCAAATCGAGCGTAATCTGGGGATGGAAACAGAGGTGGCAAATTTGGTTTGGTGCCTTTAGAGTTGGAAAGGTTGCACAGCACAGTAGCCCTTTGACCCTGTTGTGGGTCCCTTTGCCAAAGGAGCTGCACAACTCAAGAATGGTGTGCTTGCTTTCTATTATTTATTCAAGGACACCCACAAGAGGAAAAAGATAAACCAGTTACTTAGCAAAGGTTACCTGGAAAACACATGCCATCACATTTCCAACCTGTGAAAAGTCTTTTGGGGGAGAAATAGGTGTGATTATAAACAGGCAACACAAAGTATCCTTGTAACAGAATTGTTCTCTAATTTGACTGTAGTGGTGCATATAAGTAGGGCACATGTTAGAAAATTACAGAGAACTAAACACACACACACACACACTCACACACACCACAAATCAGTAGATGTAAATCTGCGGAAATCTGCCTAAGATTGATAGTCTATGAATAACAATATCCTGATTGTGATCACCTGCAATAATTTTGCAAAATGTAACTGTAAGTGGAAACTGAGTAAAGGGTACAGGAAATTTCCCTGTATTATTTCTTACAATTGCATGTGAATCTCTTATTATCTCAAAATTAAAAGTTTAATTTATTTAAAAAAAGAAAATTTTAAAAGTCAAAGAGTTCCCATACATAGGGTATCGAGGAGCATCTCCAATTACCCCTGGGCTTTTAGACCAGAGAATCAAGTGTTGGTGACAAATAGTGGAAGAAATGCCATTTGATTTAACTGTGTTTATTCTGTGTGTGTCGGGGGTGGGGGGCTGCCAGAATTTGATCATTTGGGATCAGACATTAATTTTGCCTCACAACTTTGTCTGCATGCCAAACTTTATCAATTCTAAGATGCACAATGTATTTAAATCAGCTTCTCAGGAGGTTAGGGTTAAACATATGGGTAGAAAACATTGTCATATTGAATACAAAATAAGACATTTGCAGTGTTTCAAATTCTTTATAATAAACAATCCATAAAGTTAAATTTCAATTTACTGAATATTTATTGGTAATTATAGGATAGGGTTTTCTAAAAGATTTGACATTGGTTTTTAACAATAAACAGTAGGATAATAAAGTCAGAATGTTAAATATATTTCAAATGTACTAATCTAAAGATAAAGTCATAAAACTTGGTTGGAAATTTCTGATGCTTAAGCAAGGTTTGGTATTATCTAGATTTGGAAGGCTTCCTATTAAAACTCAGCTTTGAATAATTCTATACTAAATCATCAAATAACTATGGCACATATTTAACCACATCTTTAATATAAACATAATTTATTTCATTCCATTTTACCACAGAGAAAATATTTATTTCTAACCATAGATATGATACTTATGTGATTTACATTATTTTGATCAAGTCATATTTTCTTGATAGCCTAAAAAAACCATTAACATTTATTGCTAGCCACATGGATGTTGCAAGATTTGAAATATATAGGAAAACACACAGAAAATTGAGAAGACTTTGTCTCTTCTGCCTTCTCTCACCTTCTAACTCTTGGTGCTTTTTTGCCCTACAGATACTCTAGATGTGCACAGATAGCTGTTTGCTGGATATAAATGTGTGTGTGTTAATAGGTATATGTTTGTAGGTCCTTAAGACCATAACTATACACTGCATTTAGATTTTTTTCTTTTTTTCTAATACTGGAAGTTGAATTTTTTCCACCTCTACCAAACACATAATTTTTTAACCTTAATTTTGTCCCATAATTTAGACCAATTTTTTTAATAGTTTCCTTATAATTAGATATTTAAGCCAGTACAGCTTTTTTGCTACTATAACCTGGAATCTCAGTGTGCTTGTTTATGGTAGATTGGTAGAGAAATGAAAATCCCTTCCCCACCTCCTCCCACTGGCATTGCTTGGAGAAGAACATGATCTGATCTGGGATATGAAGCAGAAACTCTTAGCTACTTCTGATCCATGACCTATATTGCTACTTGCTGACTGCCGGGTATCACCCCTGAGTACTATTAAATCTCCCATCTAGAGAGAAGGGATTCTTCTCTTTAGAGTGTTGATGACTTCACTCCTGGCAATAAGTGTGAAGTTCCCTTAAGCCACCAGAAATGTCTAATTTGGTGCCAGTCCCTAATCTCTGTTTGACTTCTTTGCTACCTTATTGTATTTCTCACAGCAACTTAGAGATTTGTGCAAGTTGTCCACCTCCCATACTGGACTGAATTCTTTGAGGGCAGAAGCCATGTCTTACTGTCTTTGGCATTCCCTATTTCTCATATAGTTTCTGACATTCAGGAGGTACTCAATAGTAAGTGCTCAGTAAGCATATTCTGAATGAATGCATGAATGAATCATGAGTGTGTGAGTGAGCAGAATGATTAGATGAATTCAGTTTTAAATGTCTGCAGGTATTGAAATTGCCAATTTGCAGTGTTATGTTTTACAATAAAGACAACATATGCATCTCCTGTAATACCACTTGCACAAAGACTAAATAGTCTAACTTCAAGGTCTTATTTCTGGAAAATCAGTACTACTTCCAAAAATCTGCGTTATTTTTAAAAATGAATTACTTATTTATATGAATGGAAGAGGTACAGAGAGAAGGAGAAGGAGGTGAAGGAGGAGAAGGGGGAAGAGGAGAATGAGGAGGAGGAGGAGGTGATAGAGGAGGAGGAGCAGAAGCAGAGGAAGAGGAGGAGGAGGAAGAGGAGGAGAAAAAGGAGAAATCAATCTTTTATCTTCTGGTTCATTCCCAAATAACCACAACAGCCTGTTTGGGCCAGATTGAAGTCAGGAGCTGGGAACTCCATTCTAGTCTTCCACATGGGTGGCAGGGGCCCAAGTATTTGGACCATGTTCCACTGTCTTCCTGGGTGCATTAATAGGGAGCTGTATTGTTAACAGAGCAGCTGGGTTTCGACCATTTGGGATGCTGGCATACCAAGTGGCTTAACCCACTGTACCACAACACTGTAACCTCCACCTCGCCCATGTTATTTTTATCATTCTCTGTGCAATCTCTATTTTCTTCCCATTTCAGTTATGTCAGACACTGGAAACAGTTCTGTGATTCTTAACCTGCAGTCAATTAGCACTTTCTTAATGCTGACAAGGCTCCTGTAGCTGTCACACTTCATATATATCAGCAGAATACTTCCCTTAATAACAAATTATATTTGTCTTACTGCATGGTTGATTAGATATCCAAAAGTTTTTTTTTTTTTTTTTGCCGTTTTAAGAGTGTTTGCACCATATTCTACAATGTTTTAATTCCCTACTATGGATGACTTATATTGCATTTGCCTTCACTGGAATCCACCCTGTCTTCAACTTGTCTGCTTTGACAATCATCTTAATCAAATATGCTGTGTTCAAAGGCACTTATCCTTCTCTTTGCTCCTTCTTCTTATTTGAAAAATAAAATGTAGGTACAAGGAATTTAATTAGAGAAAAAAAAAAAACAATGAGGTCTGGGTTTAAAAATACCAAGTAGGGGTGTGTGCATATGTGTGTGTACACTCACATGTGTGTGGGGGGAGAGAGGAGCTCTGTCTCCAGCTGCTTGCATATAAGTTAGAAACGCTCTATAAATAAATGGGAAATGTTACAAAAATAGTGCAGTATAAATTTTGTTTTAAAACTTTGAAAATTACATTTTCAACAAGTTAAAGCACAAAAATCTACCACAACCATTTGATGTTAGTCACTTTTCTTTTCCCCCAAAATTTCAGTCATTCCTCTCATCTCTTTTTGGAACAATTTTCAATAAATTTCTAACACGTTTTCTTGATTCTACAACTCAGGAGTACATTCACATGAGATTTTTAAATGCTCCAATATTTATATCCTCTAAGGGGCAATTCATGATTACTGATTACATTCAATGGGCTAGGATCTATACTACATACTTTATAAAAATTATATTATCCCTTCCAAGAAAGCTCTGAGATAGGTGCATTATTTTAGAGATGAGGAATCAGGTTTAGAGAGGTTAACCAATTTCATCAAATACACCGAGCTTCTAGGTGACAGTGGTCATTGGACACAGAGCTAGGATTCAACTTTGGATTTCTGTGACATCATTTTGTTCCCATTACATCACAATGCCTATGATACCTTTAGATTGCAAGGCCTTCTGAGGTCTCCATGCCTCCCTCTTGACATCTTGTCCTTCCCTTCATCTACTGTGATCATTTTATGTGTTTGGTCTCCTCTTCCCCATGGTAAGCTCCATACATAGTTGGCATGCCTCACTCCTCTGCTTCTCAAACCTCAGGGTCTATCATTCCACCTTCTCTACATGCAGCACTCTATTCAACACTTGGCAAAAAGTTTTGAACAAGACACAACTGAAAGAATTTGCTCCCAGAACGGGATGGTGACGAGGACACACTGTTGAGTTGGGGAATGATATTAAAGCAGCAGCATCTTACTCTGTCTTGCTTTGCATGACATAGGTGTTTGGTAAATGCCTTTTAAATGACAAATTACCTTTATGTTTCTTGGGGTTTTCTTCTGTAACAAGAAGAAGAAGAAAAACTAAATCCTGGGAAAATCTGTCAGGGAAGTTTCTAGAACCATAGCTTCTAGTGAGCCCTTTTTCACTTTCTACATATGATAAGCTTGTTCAATGCTTCCAAAAGTCATGCCCTTTCTTGTGCCAAATAAAATGGAAGCCTGTATCCATTACTAGGATCCCCGGTACAGCCTAACTGTACCTAATATGAATTGATGTCCCTACCAGGCCATACTTTTAAACATCTGGCACCAAGATGGAACTTCTGTGTTGCTGGGTAACCTCTAAATGAATCCTCAAAGTCCACAAATCCACAGTAACTTGAAGCACAGGAGAACTATGCCCAGTTCCAAAACTGCTGCTGTTTTCAGGAATGTTGTTGACCTCAACCATCAGTATTGTCTCAAGACTCTGAACTCCTGATGGACACTTGGGCGGAGCAAAGGCAAGAGTGTAAACATGCACTGTGAAGTGAGAGCAGGGTCTGCCATAGACATGTTAGCTTCACAGTTTGTCAATGGTGAGTAAAGAATGCAAATCCATCCTTCCATTCACATAGGACAAGAGGCATTGCCTTGATTGAGATGGCTAGAGTTATTTATTGTAGTAGGATTATTGTACCATTTGGGCACTGGTTTGAGTCCCAGCTGCTCTACTTCTGATTCAGCTCTTTGATACTGTATCTGGGAAAATAGCAAAGGATGGCCCAAGTGCTTCGGCCACTGTCATTCATCTAGCAGGCCCAGATGAAGCTCCTGGCTCCTGGCTTTGGCCTGGTCCAGCCCTGACTGCTGTGGACATCTGGGGAGTGAACCAGTAGATTGAAGATTCTCTGTCTCTCTCCTTTCTCTATAACTTTGCCTTTTGGGTAAATGAATAACAATTAAAAACAAAATCTGTGTTGATGAAAGCTGTTAAACTGCTCCTGTCTTTGGGACTCAGATGGCCTCTGTCAGTTCTGAGAGAAGGAAGCAAGTACAGTGGATTAGACTATAGCGCGAGGCCATGAGCAAGCCCTCCCCCAAGTTGAGCTAGTGGGCATCATGCCCCTCCTCAGTCATGACTTTATTCAGTGGTCTCACAGTTGTGTTACTTGGGGAAACAGTGAGGAGAAGGAATAGAGCTAGGAGCTCTAAGCTAGAAGATTAGCTTTTAATTTTAATGCTGTCTTTTATTATCAATGGGGTCTTGGGAAATTGCAGAGCCTCAGTCTGTTCCTCTGCAAATTCTGATTCACCCAACAAAGTGGTTTTGAGAATCAAGATGATATTCAACAGGAAGTGTCATGTGAATTTAAAATAGTTGTTGTTATTACTGTCCTAGCTTCTGTCAGGACAAATGTAAACCCAGTCCTTATGGGCACTAATGATAAAAACAGCACTCTCTCTATTTAGTCTTTATGAACACATGTACAGCTTTAACAACAAGTGGTAAAATCAATGGGCTGTAAGCAAGGTTCTGCACATCCCAGTGACAGAGGCTGCTTTCCTGCTGAGTTATCCATTTCCATGCCACAGGGGGAACTAGTTTGAAGAGACTCCCTACTGGAGACCTGAGATGCTTTCACTAGATGGACTTGAACCAGAAGTTCTTGGTACTTTATAAGCTGAAGAAGTTTAAGCTTTTCAGCGCCTTCCAATGGGGCTGGGAAAATGTCAATGTTGTACAGCCTAAAAGGGTCACGATATTAGTTACCTGGGAAGAACCCTCATTGTCAAAAGGACCGAAGGAGGGTGTATGGGAAACATGAAGCAGGAATAGTTTACATCCATTCTTAGCACAATGTCTGATCACTGCTCCAGGGAGGACCAATTGGGAATGCTTTCATTATTTTGGGGGAAACATCTGTCTTATTTATTTAGTAAACATTTCTTCAGGATTTATTACAGGCCAAGTGCAATATAATTCTGAGGATACTGGACAGGTTGTTGCCTCAAGGGACTCTCAGGCTGATATATATATATATATATCATATATACATACTTTTATATATATACATGTATATATATGTATATATATGTCATATATATACATATATATATATATAGTTGCTTTTAATCTTCTAGTTTCTGGTGAATATAAAAAGTGTATCTGCCATTGAAATATCTACTTCCTGAAAGGAGTATCAAGTGTATGCAGATAGTAATAAGATATCCGTAAGCAGTCCTAAGATGGAAAGAAGCAAATAGTCAAGTAATATTACAATGCATAAATTGAGGCAGACTTCCAAATCTATGTGGAAAACTACCTGGTTACTCATGGAATAAGAAGAGCAGCTAGAGTTTTAAAGTGGTACTCTGGGATCAGAGTTTCTAGGTTTGAATCCTGGCTATGAGAGATACTGAGAAAACCCTTCACACACTATTTCTTCATTTGTAAGGCAGGGAAATCATCCCTGCCCCTATACAACATTGTGCTAAATATCTAATACAGTAAACATCATTTTCATTATTCTAAACACTATTGATTTTTAAAGCACCGTCCACTAATAATGGCATATTTTTGGAGAGAATAGACAAAAACTCATTCTGATTTCAAGAACCAAAATGTGTTTTTTGTAGAAAAAGGAAGATGTATATTTTCAAGTTATGTAATACAGTAATTAACAATGCTTAAAAACAGAAAATTTCAAACTAGATTATTGTTCTTTCTCCACTAGGCTCCTAACCAAACATCACATGTAGGAGAATGATCCACAGAACACCAATCTTACCTTAAGTTCGAGAGGCAACACTTTGTCAAAATGCTTTCATACAATGATAGAAAAGTAACTATTTACTTGGAGCTCAGAAAATATTCAGTTGTCCCTGTTTTGCCCTCTTTTTTCCAGTTGTTCTGGGATTTCAGAGCCAGGCAGGCACAGAGAAGGGCCCAGCCATACATATGGTGCTAAGCCTCACAGGGACACCTAGAACTTCTCACCCTGATGCTGTTTGTAGTGGTGCGCAGAAGGGTGTTGTGTTTAGGAACTACTTAGGAAAAGGCTTTCCTCCCAGAAATGCATCAGAATGCCCACCTGCTGTTAAAAGAGCTGACCTCTGGCCACTGCAAGTGGTTTTCATGGATTTCCCCAGGATGGTGAGCCTGTCTAAAGGATTTTACTAGTGTTTTACCTCAACCTCAGACTTAGCTCACTTCTCACATGGCAAACCTGCTTTGGCACTGAACTGTTGACATGGAATTTTCCACTGCTAAAGATTTACAGATGTTGTTTGGTTTATTTCAGATCCAAATTGCGTGTGTGTGTGTGTGTGTGTGTGTGAGAGAGAGAGAGAGAGAGAGAGAGAGAAATAGACACATAGACTACAAATTAATCAGAATATACAACATTCAGTAGAAATGCTATACAACAGGGTGCATCTGCTATCTTGTGGGCACTCCACAAAGAAAGAGGATGGCTACATCTATCTTTTCTGCATGTCTGGTGAACTCAGTTATGGACACAACAATCCCCTAGTCCTTGGCACAGTGTGGCACACACTTATAAGTTAATGAATGCTCTGTGAATGTTTACTGAATTGAGTGAGCTAAATGAAGACTTCAGGGAAAGACAATTGATCCTGCAGATTGTTAGATCTACCACTAAGTAAATCAACCCTTAGAATACTTCTTAATAATACAATGAATTAAGGTGTATATTTCTCCATTTTCCCTTCCTTTCTTACCCCTCTGTTTTTAGGAGAATTAGAGTCATTTGTTTAGACTAGAAAAATTTTCTGCAGTTTTGCTGGAGAAACTTTAAAGGGGTGTCATCCAAACACTCAAGAATTTTTTAATGAAGTAAACTTGATAGGCAAACAACAATCCAAATCCCCAACCGCTATTCCATACAATATGCGTATTAAGTCTGAAAATTAGATACATCAAATTTCAATTTGGCTTCATGCAAGCTTTGTTTTATGGGTTCATAAAAAAATATTTTCTTTGATTATTGGGATTCTTGCAAAGTGGAATCAGCACAGACACTTCCCGAACTTGGCAGAGCCTGTTTTCCGGGTGACGGGGAATCATCTTATGTAGTAAGTGACTTTTTTAAAGACTCTGAGATAAATATACTCTAAATTAGATTCTTAAATCTACCACTGATTCTCAGTATATTTTGTGAAAGTTGCTCAACCTGGAGGAGAAGATCTGTTTTTCTCATTGGTACAAAAGAAAAACAACATTTACTTGATCAGATTTTTTCCAAAAGTAAATGTGAAAAAGGCATAAATCTGTAAAAGGCATAACTCAGTGACAGGAATAGAGTAAGCGCTCAATAAATAGAAAAATAAAAAAATGAAGGTTTCTTGAAGCTTCCTATTCTTTTTCTATAAAATGGAGATAGTACTAATCCCTTACTTACAGTACAAGGCTGTTGAATCAAATGAAGAAATGCATAAAAATGTTTGATAAACTGAATAGTACAATGTAAGCAGAAACTGATGATAAAAATGACTCACACCAATATAGCTTTAAAAAATGCTAACCTGTCTAGAACACTTCCTCAGGATCTGAAATTTATCTCTAAAGCTGTGGAATGTGATTTCTGTATTGGTTTTGGAAATCAAGCCACACAAGGCCTTGTGCATGAGGATAAATGTGAAACTCTACAGCGGAAAAATGGAAACCTCAGATATTATTAGGGCTTAGTCACGGGTGATTCTCTTTAAGCATTTAGCCAGTGAGTTGGATGAAAGTCGGAGTGAGGATGCACAGGCTGTAGTTTAACTGGTGTGATTCACAGCTCATGGTGTTCATGAAGGAACAAGGAGCTATGCTTTCTAATTTAAGGACTAGTGCTTAAGACTGCAACCAACTAGATAAGAAAACCTTCCTTGGTGAATATAAATATTAAATCTTGCTGTATTTGTCCTTTTATGTTTGATACAAAAACCATGAAGCTAGGGGCCGGCATTTGGTAAAGCAGTTAAGAAGCTGCTTGGGACCCCCACTTGCCATGTTGGAGTGCCTGGGCTTGAGTCCTGGCTTTGCCTCTGATTCCAGCTTCCTGCTAATGGGTACCCAATGAGGCAGCAGGTGAAGATTCAAGTAGTTGGGAGACCTGAGTGTTGTGGACATCTGAAGAGTGAACCAGCAGGTGGGAGATTTTTCTCTGTGTCTCTGCCTCTCAAATAAATAAAACTTTTTAGAAATTAATTTGTCATATGTTGATTTCATTTTGTTCCAGTAAATTCTCGGGAGTGGGATGGCTGGGTCATATGGGGGATGGTTAAGCTTATTATAAAATAAACTGCAAGTATGTCATTGTAAAAATTAAAAGAAAAAATAAGAAAGGAAGGAGCAGGGAGGGTGGCAGTGTGGGCAGGAGGAAGGGTAGCGTGGAAAGTATCATTATGCTCTTAAATCTGTATATATGAAATACATGAAATTTGTATTATATAAATAGAAAGTTGGCAAAAAGAAACAAATTTAAAAAATCATGGAGCTAGGGACTATAATAATGATGTTCAAGCTTCCTGTGCTCTATAATAATAACCAGATCTTGTCCAGTGAAAACGGTTACATTCTTGCCTGGTT